TGCAGACGGGAGGAGACTGACTTCCTGGCTCAGCCCCCCGCCCCCCGACAGCACCTGTTCCCAGGCTCCACGCCACACTGAGTCCCAGCCCTGCGGCACTGTTTGCCCACCGGCCAGGAAGGGAGGAGCCGGGTGGTTTCCTGGAAAATATTTCACACCGACCCTTGGGTGCCCTCGAGGCTGTGCACCCAATTAGAATGATTCTGGGTTGTGAGAGGCGGGCCCTCTGATAAAGTGACAGAAGGGGGTGTGGGGTGGGAACTGGCAGATCACCGGCCAGGCAGCATTTTAGGTAAAAGTAAATGCATACTTTCACATTGTGCCCATGTGCCCCCCTTGGGCTCGAAATCGGGTTTCCTAAGCTGTTACACATACAGTTCATGTCCACCAGAGGCCACTGTTGCTTCACTGTTTCTAATGGTGCCTTTAAAAAAGAGTACAGCCCTGCCCTGGCCCGTTCGCTCAACGGTTGGAGCGTTGGCCTGCGGACCAGAGACCCAGGTTTGGTTCCTACTAGGGGCATGTACCACTCTAATGACAGTGGTCCCAAAAAGTGTCGGCTGACTTCCACACAGTGTGCAAATGCTCGTGTTGAGCCCTCAGCATGTGCTGCTAATCGAAATGTGAGCAACAGTGACCATGACACTGGGCATCTCTACAGGGTCTTCCCCGCACCATCAGCTCTTTCATATTTACTTCTCAGTTAAGGCTCAGTGCTGCCCAGCTGGGGTGGCTCAGTGGCTGAGCGCTGACCCATGCACCAAGAGGTCGCCGGTTCGATTCCTGTTCCTTCGGGGGCACATGCCCAGGTTGTAGCCCAATCCCCAGTGGGGGTGTGCAGGAGGCGGCCAATAGATGTTCTCTTTCATCGATGTCTCTTTCTCTCAAATCAATAAAGAAAAAAAAGATATAGTAGGGTAAACTTAGGGGAAAAAAAAGTGCCGTGTCTTCTCATTTTCCAGAGTAAATCTAGGGAAACGCCAGGGGTCTTGTAGCTGGGTGGTGGTCTTTCTGACCGAGAGGAAGCTGGGGAAGCACCCCACGCCTCCCGCAGTGTTCCCTGGGGGGGCTCAGTTGCATCACAGGAAGTTGCCGCGGGTAGATGCAGAGTTGTGGGTAAGGCCTGGAGGCTGTCTGGGCACCACGGAGCACTGCTCAGCTTCAGGTTAGAAGCTTCCGGGTCCCCGGGGAGCCTTACCCCTGCGAGGCACTACCCTGCCCCCAGTTTCCGTGGTCCGAGCGGGCAGACAGGAGCATCTGGAGTCCACATTGTGGGTTTGAATCCAGACGCTTCTTAGCTGGGTGAGTTAGTAAACCTCTGAGTCTCAGTTTCCTCATCTGTTAGGATGGGACTAATTGTACCCACCTCATAGGGTTTTGTCCCCTATGAGCAAGACCTGGTGTGCAGGGGGTGGGTCTGCTCTGACCCGTCCCGCAGGTCGAGCAACGAGGACTCTAGAGGGGGAGTGAGGATGAGGAGGGACAAGAGACACGAGAAATGGAGACAAGACAGGATTCTGATCAAGTCTCGTTTATTCAGGGGTAATTCACACAATATATAGGGCAAGAAGCACCTGTTGCCAAGCACCAGGCTTGCCCGAAGCAAATCTAGGAAATACGACAAAAGGAACAAAAGGTCAGCAAAGACTTAAAGAAATGCAAAATGCAGAGATAAAGAAATGCAGAATGCAGAGATATCCTGCCTTGGGGCAGGCGATGGCAGAGCAGATTTTAACAAAATTGATGCCATGCAAAAAGTCTCCCACGCTGCTCTGCAAACCCTCCTCCCCTTTCTCCCTCCCTCATCCTCAGATCGGCTGCCTCTGGCTATGGGCCAATTCTGAGAGTTCACAGAGGATGGGGTACCCACCTGATTGCCTGTAGTACAGCTCTGTGGTCATTGGGCCAGTGATTCTCACACTTGGGTAAGAATCTCCTGTTCCATCCGAGAAGCTGGCTGAGCCCCGTCTCTGGAGCTTCCCACTGGAAAGTGTGCCTGGCCACCGGCCCCTTCCCACCAGGTCCTCCCTGCTCCAGGCTGAGTAAACCGGGGTTCCCAGCAATGCGGGCAGGCACCCTCCCATCCGCAGAAAAGCAGAGGGCAGCTTTGCTCTCTGCTGAGCTGGGACTCCCGGGCTCCTGCCCTGAGACATGGGCACTCCTGGTTCTCAGGACTTTGGCCTTGGACTGGAACCACCCCACACTTCCCTGAGCCTCCTGCTAACAGCAATCATAGTGTCACTGGAAAGGGGACTTGGCCCTCGGTGGGTCTGCCTAGGGCCACTGGTAGTGTATGGATTCTTGACTTCGTGCAGACAGACAGTTCACAAGCCCAGGTGATTACAAGGGAATGTTTACTAAAGCTGTGTACAGTGAAACCAGGACCCAGGACGGCCTCAGCACTCTGGGACGTCAAAGAAACAGGGTCCTTGGGAATAGGTTCAGAGGTTAGCCCGGGACCAGGTGCCACCGCCCACTGTTCCCCTGGTTGCAAGCCTCCTGGGGTCCTTGAGGGTTAGGAGATGCGCCTGTGAGGGATGGGGGGGAAGGAACTGTGGGGGCTGCTCCCGGAGCGGAGAGTGCATGCCGGTCCTTTGTCTCGAGGTTTGCTCTCTGGTAAACAGAATCAGAGAGGAGGTCTCAGGGGAGGGTCTTAGCAGGACATTCGTCATGGTCTTCACTGATTGGTCAGTGTCAGGGCTGGGAGTCTTTAGTCATTGCAGCTGGTCCTGGTGTAACCTGGAGGGCCTGGAGCCAGAGTACAACTGAGGCCCAGATGTCATCTCTAGGGCGGGGAGCTTCTGTGTCTGCTGTAAACTGCTGTCCGTTTGTTCACTCTGACTCAGTTTCCCTGTTCCCCTTGTCCTGGCTCACTGGCCTGGACGTCTCAGCCCCTATAATCAGGTGAGGCCAATCCCTGAGGACACACCTCTTTCTGCCTATCTTTTTCAGAAAGGAACCCCCTGGCATGATTGCTGACCGACTCCCAGACGGCCTGAGTCAGTCTCTCCAGGGGGTGGGAGGCGTGGCCAGAGGACACACGTTAGAGAGCCACATTCTTGGGGGTGCGTCACAGCAAGGCTCACCTCCAAGGGTGCTTTCATCAAATTTGCAAATCAGGCTGATCTAGGCGGTTCCAGGGACCCTCCCCTGAACCCTCTGGTGCTGAGCAGCTGCCCCCAGCTTTGGACACTCTCGGAAAATGCTGTCCTTGATGGCCCGAAAGCTCCTTCTCAAAATGTGGTTCCCGCCCTGGCCTGGTAGCTCCGCTGGTTAGAGCATCGCCCCCGACACGCCAAGGTTGTGGTTTTAGTCCCCGTCAGGGCACATCCAAGAATCACCCAATGAGTGTCTAAGTAAGTGGAACAACAAATCGATGTTTCTCTCTCTCTCTCAAATCAATTAATAAAAAGGAAGAACATTTAAATTTGGTTCCAGAGCAGCAGCAGCACCTAGGAACCCCTTCCAAATGCACATGTACGGGCCTACCAGCCTCAGTGAAAGGGAGACTCCAGATTCTGTGGCTGAGGGGCAGCCAGGGCACCTTCCTCCCACAGGTGGGTCGGGTTCCTGCCAGCCCAGACTGGAGAAGTGGCAGGTGGGCTTGCTGCCCTGCCCCCTGAGCGGGCAGGCACTGAGCACACCTCTGTCTGGTCATTTGCTCTCCCCCTAACACGCCCAGCAGTTTCACTCACCACTAGCGCTCTGATGGGCCCGGGTATAGTGATGGGATTGTGCCTTCACAGAGATAAAGACGTTCACAGCAAATGCCAGTGTGTAGTAAGAGTAGAGGGCGGGGTGCCGGAGGGGTGGGGAAGGGAAAGGGAGCTATTTGGTTTTCCTTGGATGATAGAGAGGACACGTCTGGGTGTCTAAATTTTGCCCTTTAATCCTTGTTCTGGGAGCAGCACCTTGATCTTCATCTCACCCCACTCAGTTCAAAGGCTCCACTCGCCTTCCCCAGCTTGGGGGAAGGCACTTGACCGGGTCAGAGCCTTTATCTCTCCTCCCCCGACAGTGATGGCATTAGCGATGGGCTCTGCACTGCCAGATCAGTCCTGGGGCTTTTTCTAAAAACTACTGGAGAAAGAAATGAAAAACTGCTTTTGGTAACTGCTGAAGTTATTGGGTGTGGGGATTTGGGCTCGGATTTTCTGGGGCTGCCCTGAGGGAGGGGCGTTCCTGAGAAACAAAGCCCACCCAGGGGGAGGAGACGACTAGATCCAGCCACACCTGAAGCCTTTACTCCTGGACTTTCTAGTTAGGTAAGCCAATACCTTCCTTTTGGGCTGGCACCTGTTTCAGTCCCTGGAAACTTAAAGGGTCCTGATGTGAAGCTCAGACCCATGAAGGTCCCTGTGCTCGTCCCTGACTCGGTCAAGTGACCTGGAAGATACATTATGTTGTTTTTCTTTATTGATTTTAGAGAGAAGAAGGGACAGGGGGAGAGAAAAGATCCACGAGAGTGAACATCAACTGGCCGCCCCCTGCACGCCCCCCCCCCGGGCATGCGCGCTGACCAGGAGCCAACCAGGGACCCCTTGGTGCACGGTCGACCTCCAGGTCTCCACTCTAACCGCGCTTCTCCCGGGAGGCCCCTCACTCTGCCGGCGCCCCGAGCGCGGGGCCCGCTGCAGGCGCTCGGGAAAGATCTCCAGCGGAAGGGGCCTCACACACACGGAGCCCCTTCCCGTCCCCAGCTCGCGGTGCGTGTGCGCCTCCCTGCTTGCCAACCCCGCCGGCCCGGGGCGCACAGACGCGCACGCAGAGAGCGGACCCCTCCGCCACACACAGGCACGCGCAGGCGCGCAGCACGCCCCCAGCGCCCGGCCCGACGCCCACCCGGAACAAGGGGCGCTCTGTGCGCACGCGCGGCCCCAAGTCCCGCCCCCTCCCGGCCGCGCCCGTGGGGGCGGGGCGTGCCGGGGGCGGGTCCTGCGGCACCGCCCGGGAAGCTGCGCGCGGCTGGGCGGCCCCCGCCACATCCTCCTCCTCCTGCGAGTCCAAGCCAGCGGAGCCGGGCCGGGGCCAAGCCGAGGGCTCCGAGGGCGCGGGCGGAGCGGGGCACGGAGCCATGGCGCACCAAACGGGCATCCACGGTGAGGGCGGATGCGGGCGGGCGGGCAGGGGGCAGAGGGTCTCCACCCGCCGCTGCACCCCCTCCGCGGCTCTCGGCTCCTGCGTCCTCCCCGGCACCAGTCCGAGAAGCTTCCTGTTCTCTCTGCTGCCGCGGGCGCCTGGGGTGGGCACATCTCGCGGGAGGGGGCACTAACTGTGCCTAGTTGGGAGTGGGTGTACCTGGAAGTATACAGCTGGGCGGAAGTTTCTGTGTTCGGTGTGCCCATCCGGGGGTGGATGTGACTGTGTGTGCCCATCTATGGATTTTTGTTCCTTTTGGGGGGTGGGTGTACCCGGATGTGCACATCTGGGAAAGTGTGCACGCATGTGCACTTGTCTTGTGTGTACAGCCAGTGTGTGCTCCTCTGGGTGCACATGCACTAGTGGCTGATTGAAAGGATACAGTAACACGGAACCATTTTACACATAAGTGTTTCGCGACTCTGCACACGTCTGTGGGTGTCTGTGTGCACAATTTGGGTGCATCTGGGTGTACATTTGTTACCATGGATGCATGTACTGGATGTGTCTGTGTATGGCTTGTATGGGTTTGTGTCTGTTTGAGGAGGCTCCTCCCAGAACCCTCACACACTCCTGCAAGCTAGGCTGGGGAAACCTGGGACAGGGCCCTCAGAGTGGGATGGGGAGAGTGCCCTTGACCTCAGACCCCCCCCCCCATTTTCCTCTCTGATCTGAGTCTGCCCCAGCCAGAGTTGGAAGGTTCCAGTTCCAGGTTGGGAACATAGAAGAGGGTCCGAATATGGGGTTTATGGGGAAGGGTCCTAGCCCTAGAAACTCCAGGCCAGCACCCCCCAACCCCAAGCTTCTCCAAACCAGAGCATCACCCCCTTCCCCCAAAGGCCTCAGTTTTTTCCTTGGACAGATTGGGAGAGAAGCAGTGGCCAGGAGCCAAGTATCCTCAGTGTCCCCCTCCACTGGCCTGGGAAGGCTGCCTGGCTGTGCAGAAGGTCCAGACTGCCTGCTCAGAGAACCGGTGGTTTGGCCATCAGCCACTCTTCCACCACACCGGGATCTCCACCCAGCGCCACCATCGACCGGCCTGACCGCCTGGATCTTGGCCTGTGGTTGTGGCCACTAGGTGGCCAGACTGCCTTGAGAGGGTTTCCCTGGCCCCGCCCCACAGGACCAGAGAAGGCCTGAGCCTGGGTCAGGGCCAGCCTCCCACCAGGTGGGCCAGCCTGTGTCCAGGAGGAGCTGGAGGGCCTGCGTCAGGACTCAGCCCTTAGGAGGGAACAGCTGATTGAAGTCCCTTCCTTCCCTTTTGCGTTCTCATTGCTGCCTCCACCTGAGAGGGGATGGGAAGTTAGGTTCCTGCTGTGGTCAGGGCCCTACTTCAGCCTCTCACTTCCAAACGGCGAGGCAGCCCCCCTGCCTGTGAGCCATGCACTCATTTCTGCCTGGGCAGGTGGGAGGAGAGACTGCCCTGGACACCCAGGTGCCAGCCTATCCTGGCCATAGGTGTGAATCTGCTGACCTCAGAGCAGGGCAGGGGAGGGACCTGTAACCTGAGCTCAAGGGATGGGGGGTGGGCAAGGCAGCAGGGGTGGGGCAGGGGGCATGAATCTTTGATGATAAGAGGCTCAGGTGTCCCAGGCCTGGCCTCTGGATTATTGATGGTGGCTGGGAGGCATGGGGGTTGTCTCTTCCCCTTCTGGGGTGTCATTGTCCTGGTAATACTAGAAGGGATGTGTCAGCCTCTCTGGGAGAGCTTCTTGGCCTTCGGGCCCGAAGGTCTGAGCAGGTAGGAGCAGCTCTGCACACCTGCCCTGCTGTCCTTACAGTAATAAAGTCAGCATGTTGTTAGTAGCAGCCTGTTACAGGGAGCGCTTTCTCCCATTCGCTCCTCACCGCAGCCCCCTGCACTTGGGGAGTTTGAGGTTAAGGGAGGTCGGAGGTCACACACAGCTGTGGGAAAGGTGGTGCCCCAGAGGCCAGGGCTTCAGGGACCTGCTGGGGCTCTGCAGGTGGGTAGTTCTGCTGGCCCAGTGGGCAGTCTGCTGAGTGCCGAGGGCCTGTGGGCTCATCTGGGACCCTGCCCATCCAGTGGCCTTGGAGGGTGGTACACAGCCGAGGTCTCAGGCTCCGGTCACTTGCATGAGGGGCACCTGAGGACAGGACCAGAATTTGTTTCCTAAAGGCCCCCCCGCCCCCGAACTGCGGGTCCTATAAATATTCTCTGACCTCAGTTCTCCAGCGGTGTTCTGCAGAACTTTCCTGACACCTAGGAAGGTCAAGGTCATGCTGGCTGGCCCTGCGTATCCAGAGACCAAGTCGGGCCCTTGTCCACTTGGACCTTGCTTTCTCCCTGAACCACAGTGCCTCTGTGACTTCCCATGGCTCCCGGGCTCTGACCATGATCCTCACTTCTGCACTGGGGTCCTCAGTCATTGGCTGTCACCTTCCAGCTCTGTGGCCCAAGCACCAAGGAAGGGTCTGTTTTGGAGAGTTCCTGAGTCACTTCCTCCTCCATGAAGCTTTCCCAACTGCCTGGCGGTGGGAGCTTGTCCCCGCAGGGCTGTGTTCCTGAATGCCTGCCTGTGTGCATCTGTGTGTACTTTGTACACACCTGCCCGCAAACGTCTTCGCCAAGCTCTGCGTTTGCTCTTCGTGCGTGTGTTCGTGCCCTGGGCGCTGCGGCTGGGTGTGCACGTGTCTGCGTGTGCGCATCTGTTTGTGTTAGACCAGCCGAGCATGTGCACGTGGACGAGGGCGTTTGCAGTGCTGCTGCTCTGTTACCAGCACGTGTTGATGTGCTGCGTTCACACATGCTGGGCTGTGTACCTGTTTGTTGCCACATACATGTGTGCATGTGTGTGTGCATACATGCACACGCAATGTGTGTTAATGGGCAGAATGTTCATGTGTTTCTGTCTGTGGTTGTGACAGTACTGAGTGTGGCCCAGTCCAGCTCAGCACCGGGCCTTCCTCCGACTGGCCTGGCCCGCCCAGAGCCCACCCATCCTTGGACGGGTGTCCCATCCCTGATGCCCTGTCACCAGAGCTACTCCAGCCAGCAGGCCACTCGCCTGCCACCTCAGCTGGCTAAATTTGGGAGCTTATGTTCGGCGGCCATCTCAGGTTCCCAGTCACATGGGGGGCTGTATTTAACCCGGCTCCCGGCTCCGCCACCAGACCCCGCAGGACAGAGCAGGCCTGAGCGTGTCCCTGCCGCGCTGCTTGCCCCGCCCGCTCATCCTCACCATGTTCCTTGTTCTTGTAGCCACCGAGGAGCTGAAGGAATTCTTTGCCAAGGCCCGGGCTGGCTCTGTCCGGCTCATCAAAGTCGTCATCGAAGACGGTGAGTGCCCCTTGCCCCTACGAGGTGGGACGTAGGCTGGGTGCGGGACCCAGCTGCTTCTCTGGGAAGTGGGGGGATGTTGGCTTCCAGCCCACTCAGGGCCTCAGTTTCCCCATCTGGGAACGGGGGTGCCTTGTAGGAGAGCACCGGAGGGGGCGTGATCCTTGCCCCTGTTACACAGAGCAGGGGACTGGAGCTGAGGGGGTAGCGGGGAGGGCCTAGCCCTGGACCCCTGCCAGCACCCCGCCCAGAGGCTGTGTAGGGATGGGGTGGGAAGGGGGGAGCAGGGAATAAATTAGGCCTGGCCCTGCCCCGCCTCCGCCAGCTTGGCTGCTGGCCAGGGGGAGTCCTGAGGAGGAGCAGGCCTGCCCTCAGAGAGTGGGGAGGACTGCCTGCAGCTCGCCGAGATGTGGATGGGGGATTCTAGGCTTGGCCGGCCTCGGAAGGGGCTGGGAGGGTTTGAGGGAGAGAGGAGTAGATCAAAGCTTGTGGGGCCAGGTGGAGGCCCCTCCCCCATTCTTCTGTGCTGAGGGGCTGTCCCTGGAGATGAGGGTACCGCTCTGGGCCTGGGGGTGGGCCGGCCCTTCAGCCATGCAGTTCTGGGCCCTTCAAGGGCTCCCCGGACGGGCTTGTGCCCAGATGGCTCTCATACGTTGAATCGGCTCAGTGCAGGGTCTGCCCAGACAGGACGTCCCTAAGATACTGAGCAGAGGACTCTCGAGGTGGGCTCTCACCCGGCTCAGTTCGGCCTACGGTTGTTGGGACAGCTGGGAGTGCCGGGAGGGTCCAGGCCCCTGACAGTGACCACTGCCCATCTGCAACTGAGTGTGGCCCAGGTCTTGGTTTTTCTACAGAAACTACGAATTCTGCCCTGGCTTGTTTGGCTCAGCGGTTAGAGCATCGGCCTGTGGTCCGGAGAGACCCGGGTTCGGTTCCCGCTAAGGGCACGTACCTCGGTTGCGGTTTGTCCCCGGCCCTGGTTGGGTTGTGTGGGTGGCAGCCACTCGATGTGTCCCTTTCACGTCGATGTTTCTCTCTCTCTCTGTTCCTCCCTCTCCCTCCCACTCTACCTGAACTAAAATGGAAAAATGTCCTCGGGTGAGGATGATAAAAAAAAAAAGAAAGAAACTATGAATTCTACTTCTTACGTAAAACGTCCACGTCTGAGCACGTGGGCAGCAAGGTGAACAGCGTTGGCGGCGCTGTTGGGGCCAGCTCGGCCTGTGACTGCTGGTTCCCGACCCTGACCCCATCTGAGTCAGGGAGGGCAGGGCAGGAGGCCAAGGCTCCAGAGAGGCGGCTGAGTTGTGAGGCCTGGCATGTTGGGTCCCTTGTCCCCATCTGGAGGTCCCAGTGGTTAGGTACCAGGACCTTGCCCCCCTTTTCCCTCCATCCTGGGCCTGTGCACCAGCCAGGGGTGGCAAGCCTGTGGCCCCAGGCGTTGAGAGGTGCTGCTCCTGATGTGTTACTTCTTGGGCAGGGCCACAGCTGGCGGGGGGCAGCAGGGTCCCTGCTTGCATGGTGTTTGGTGGGGGCCCCGTCTCCCTCTTTCCCGCACACTTGCTCCTGTAGGTCCCCGTGACCTGCAGCTGGGAGCCCGCTGCTGAGCACATTTGTTCTGAGAAGGCCGGGCCGGGGGTTGTGTGGGTGCCCTGGGCTGAGGGGAGGAGGGGAGCAGGAGGTGGCACGGTGGGGTAGTGGGTGAGTGTCCGAGAGGGGCCGATTGTTGGTGGCTGTGAGCACATATCCCCGTGTCTCCCTGTGGTTGTGTTTCGGGTCATCTGTGGGCAGTCTGGCGGCTGTCTCTGGCGGGCAGCTGTGTCATTCATTCCCTCATTCACTCACTCACTCACTCACTCATTCACTCACTCACTCACTCACTCATCCACTCACTCATTACTCATTCACTCACTCACTCATTCACTCACTCATTCACTTACTCATTCACTCACTCATTCACTTACTCATTCACTCACTCATTCACTTACTCATTCACTCACTCATTCACTTACTCATTCACTCACTCATTCACTCACTCACTCCCTCCCTCACTCACTCACTCACTCATTCACTCACTCACTCATTACTCACTCATTCACTCACTCATTCACTCACTCACTCATTACTCACTCACTCATTCACTCACTCATTACTCTCATTCCCTCACTCACTCATTCACTCACTCACTCATTACTCACTCATTCACTCACTCACTCACTCACTCCCTCCCTCCCTCACTCACTCACTCATCCACTCATTCACTCACTCATTCACTCACTCACTCACTGCTTCAGTCCCATAGCCTCGTCCTCCGGGGCCTTGGGGGCTCCAGGGGAGGTGGGCGGGTGGCCGCGTGGTGGGTGTGGACACAGCAGTGCCTGGGCTCACCCGGCCTCTCCCCTCAGAGCAGCTCGTGCTGGGCGCGGCACGGGAGCCCGTGGGCAGCTGGGACCAGGACTATGACGCGGCTGTGCTGCCACTGCTGGGTGCCCAGCAGCCCTGCTACCTGCTGTACCGTCTGGACTCGAAGAATGCCCAGGGCTTCGAGTGGCTTTTCCTCGCCTGGTCGCCCGACAGCTCCCCCGTGAGTCCTAGGCCCTGCCTGGTCCCAGGCTCGAGGGAAGGGGAGCTGGCCTGGTCAAGACAAGGCTCAGCCCTGGGGAGTCGCGGGGAGAGACATCAGGTCCTGCCCTGGAGAGTCAGGGACAAGGCCCTCGGGTGGCCTGCAGCCCTCCTGGCCGCCTCAGCCTGGTTCCGGGAGCCAGAGGTTGGGTGGGTGAGGGCTTTCCCTGCTGTCCGAGCTGCCTCCGCGGGATGGGTGGGCACAGGGGGTGACCGGCCCCCACCCAGAGGCTCCTGCCTGCTGGAGAGACAGCCCTGCCTGGGGGGGACTCACAGTTTGACCCCTGCCATTCAGGTGCGGCTGAAGATGCTGTACGCAGCCACCCGGGCCACGGTGAAGAAGGAGTTTGGAGGCGGCCACGTCAAGGACGAGCTCTTCGGGACCGTGAAGGTAGTGCCCCAGGCCAGGACCTCCGAGCCTGGATCACAGAGGATGAGATGGGGCTCAGGGTCACAGAGCAAGTGGGCACCGGGCTTGGGGATGAGTGGGGAGGGCTGAGAGAGCCCAGGGGCTGCAGGTGGGGTGCTCCGTGGGCTTCTGGCAGCCCGCCAGGGGCCCCTTTATGCCTCTGCATCCACTGGCCAGGACGATCTCTCCTTGGCTGGGTACCAGAAGCACCTGTCGTCCTGTGCTGCTCCCGCCCCGCTGACCTCGGCCGAGAGAGAGCTTCAGCAGATCCGTATCAACGAGGTAGGGGCGCCTGCGGGGTGGGCCCCGGGGCCCTCCAGGCGATGTCAGGCCGTGCTCCCTGGGGGGCTGCAGTCGCTCACTGTGCACCTGCACCCAGGTGAAGACAGAGATCAGCGTGGAGAGCAAGCACCAGACGCTGCAGGGCCTCGCCTTCCCCCTGCAGCCAGAGGCCCAGCGGGCACTGCAGCAGCTCAAGCGCAAGGCCATCAACTACATCCAGCTGGTGGGTGTGCGCCCTGCCCAGGCCCCCGCCAGGCGCCGCGCCCCCACCCGCCTGCTCACACCTGCGCGTGAAGACGGACACCACGCCCCTGGCCCGTCCACCGCAGCGCACCTGCGCACTGGCCTGCCGCCACTCCTGTCCCTGGACCTGTGTCCATTTTGGGTGCAGCTGCTATGTGTCGTGGGTGCACTCTGTCCCCCTGCCTTGTCCCTGCTCGTGTGCAGGGACACCTGTGCACACTGTCCGTCCTCCTGCCCACCACACTGCGTACACATACTCACCCCTGGTCCGCTGACCCCTCAGCCCTGAGCCCCTTCCTGTCCCAGACTCTCCTGCAGCCCCCTGACCACCCTGTCCCCAGGCAGGGCCCTCTGATCCAGCAGTTCAGGCCCCCCCCCCAACAGAATGGTTCCTCCTAAGACGGTGCCCCAAGAGGCCTCTTCTGGGGATGGGCTGGCCCAAGGTCAAGGCCCTTCCCACTTCCTGTCCACAGCCCTGGGTGGAGCCTTTGCTAGGAGAGTTTTCAAAGGGGCCAAGTTCAGGCCGGGACGGGGGCCACTGGAGAGGGGCGTCCTGGCAGAGGGAGCTCCTGCCTGCCAGCCCACCCACCACCTCGGGAACTCTTGTTTGGTGGGTGGGCCTGGGCCCTCCCTCATCTGTGCCTTCCTGTCCCACTGCCCCTCGGCAGAAGCTGGACCTGGAGCGGGAGACGATCGAGCTGGTGCACACCGAGCCCACGGACGTGGCCCACCTGCCCTCGCGGGTGCCCCGAGAGGCCGCCCGCTACCACTTCTTCCTCTACAAGCACACCCACGAGGGCGACCCGCTGGAGTCCGTGGGTCAGTGCCACAGCGGGCCCAGGCCGGGTGGGCGGAGCAGGCTGGCCCGCGGCGGGGGCTGCCCACTCACCCCTGTCCCCGCAGTGTTCATCTACTCCATGCCGGGTACAAGTGCAGCATCAAGGAGCGCATGCTCTGCTCCAGCTGCCCACTCACCCCCGCCCCCCGTCCCCGCAGTGTTCATCTACTCCATGCCGGGTACAAGTGCAGCATCAAGGAGCGCATGCTCTACTCCAGCTGCCCACTCACCCCCGCCCCCTGTCCCCGCAGTGTTCATCTACTCCATGCCGGGTACAGGTGCAGCATCAAGGAGCGCATGCTCTACTCCAGCTGCCCACTCACCCCCGCCCCCCGTCCCCGCAGTGTTCATCTACTCCATGCCGGGTACAGGTGCAGCATCAAGGAGCGCATGCTCTACTCCAGCTGCCCACTCACCCCCCTCCCCGTCCCCGCAGTGTTCATCTACTCCATGCCGGGTACAGGTGCAGCATCAAGGAGCGCATGCTCTACTCCAGCTGCCCACTCACCCCCCTCCCCATCCCCGCAGTGTTCATCTACTCCATGCCGGGTACAGGTGCAGCATCAAGGAGCGCATGCTCTACTCCAGCTGCCCACTCACCCCCCTCCCCGTCCCCGCAGTGTTCATCTACTCCATGCCGGGTACAGGTGCAGCATCAAGGAGCGCATGCTCTACTCCAGCTGCCCACTCACCCCCCTCCCCGTCCCCGCAGTGTTCATCTACTCCATGCCGGGTACAGGTGCAGCATCAAGGAGCGCATGCTCTGCTCCAGCTGCCCACTCACCCCGCCCCCCCTCCCCGCAGTGTTCATCTACTCCATGCCGGGTACAGGTGCAGCATCAAGGAGCGCATGCTCTACTCCAGCTGCCCACTCACCCCCCTCCCCGTCCCCGCAGTGTTCATCTACTCCATGCCGGGGTACAAGTGCAGCATCAAGGAGCGCATGCTCTACTCCAGCTGCACACTCACCCCCGCCCCCTCTTCCCCGCAGTGTTCATCTACTCCATGCCGGGGTACAAGTGCAGCATCAAGGAGCGCATGCTCTACTCCAGCTGCAAGAGCCGTCTCCTCGACTCCGTGGAGCAGGACTTCCAGCTGGAGATCGCCAAGAAGGTGGGCACGGGTGGGGAAACAGGCCCAAGGGGAGCATGCACTGTGCAGCTGCCCCACTGACCCATGGCCCGGACAGGCCCTCGCTCCCAGGCCTCCTGTCCCCAGGTGTGGAAGCAGGGGTTACCGAGGTGTGCGGGGCGACAGGCACTAGGACCTGTGCTCCTGGAGGTGCCGTCCCAGGTGGGGGTCTGGGAGGAGACATCCCCAGGCGGGGTGCCCCAGGAGCAGGGGTGACAGTCTCGCCCCACCCACCCAGATGGAGATCGGTGACGGGGCGGAGCTGACCGCCGAGTTCTTGTACGACGAGGTGCACCCCAAGCAGCAGGCCTTCAAGCAGGCCTTCGCCAAGCCCAAGGGCCCCGGGGGCAAGCGGGGCCACAAGCGCCTCATCCGTGGCCCCGGCGAGAACGGGGACGACAGCTAAGGAGGTGGGACCCGAGTCGTGCTGGCGTGTGGACTGTGGGTGCCCGCCTCGCCACTCCCCATCGCCGCCCTCCTTCCTAGCCGGGGCTCCGGGCAGGGTCTCCTTGTGGGGCCGGAGGGCTGGTGCGGATCCCTCTCGGCTTCTGGGGGCCACTGGGCTGGCATTTGTGCCCTTCCCCCCATTGCTCCCCCTGCCTCTTACCCGTGTGCCCAGAGTGTCTGGGGACCCTGCTTGGCTGTCTCCGGGGCCTGGCATGAACTTGGCCCCCAAGCAAACTGAGACTAGGGACCCAGCACAGCCCAGAAGCCTTGGGCCACAAGGGGTGGGCTCACTCAGGGCTGGGGTAGGGGGCCACTGCAGGACGAGATGGTTGAATGCTGTATTTTTTAAAGAATAAAATATTTTTAAATCAACACCCGAGTCTGGCTCAAGGAGCACCTCTGGTCCTGGGCATTGGGAGCCCCTGTGGATGTAACTGCCTCTTCCCCACTCAGCAGGTGTCGGGGAGAGTCTGCCTGTGTGGGTGCCAGGGCACAGCCTGACAGGTCCCCTTGCTGGCGGGAGCTTGGCCCGGGGGAGCCAACTCCACTGTGGCACAGGGATCTGGGGGTGTGGGTTTCCCATGGCTCTCCAGGTTCCCCAGACTTACTGGCTTTAAGCAACACAAATGTGTTTTCTTACAGTTACTTTAAGTCTGGAGTGAGTCTCACGGGCTAACACCTGCGCATTGGCAGGGGCGGTTCCCTCGGGAGAAGTCATGCCCCCCCTCCTCCAGGGGCTGGAGGCCCCATTCCTCCATCAGCAAGGCCAGAAGCACAGCCTCTGGTTCAGATTCTGGTCCTACTTCCTCTGCTGTGGCCACATCCCCTCCGCCTGTCTTACAAAGGATGTTTCTGACTCTAGTCACTTCCCCTCCCTGCTGGTGCAGGAGACCCCTCCTGGAACCTTTACTCCACCTACCGAGTCCTTTGTGAAAGAACATGCGCAGCTTGGAGTGGACGAGGTCTCCCTGGGCACTCTGCCCCGCGGCGTCCCGGCCTCTGGGCTGCGGGGTGGCCGGCGGTCTGGACATCTGCGATCTCGGAATGTGCCGAGTGTGCACGCAGACTCCCATTGGCGCAGCTCCATCCCGCGCACCGTGTCAGCCCCAAGGCAGGCAGCGTGACTTCTGGAGACGGGGAGGGTCTGGGATCCCAGGGACTCGGCAGGAGGTATGCAAGGTAAGGACATGCAGGGTCAGTGAGGGTCCAGCTTCTGTCCTCCTGGGAGCATATCCTGGGCTAGGGCTCAGGCCCGTGTCCTGTCCCTGGGGCCTTTCGCGGGCCCTACTAAAGACCCTGGAATTGCAGGGAAGAGAGCTGGACCCAGAGAAGGAGGTCAGTCCTGGCTCGCTCCAAACACTGGTTCCCAGGTGGGCAGAAAGACTGTGCTGGTGCCCCCATGCTGCTCGACCCCTGGGGCCCATGAGCCAGCCAGACGCCTGGCAGCTTGGAGCCTGCCTGTGGTGACACCCACCCCGCTGTGCAGCCCTGCCTCCCAGCAGAAGCCCTCTCTGCTCGTTCGTTCATTGTCACTCAGAGACGCCTGCCCAGAGCTGAGTGCCGGACAGTCATGGATTCAACAAATACTGAGCACCCACCACGTGCTGGGCACTGGGCTGGGCCTTGGAGATATAGACAAGATCCTGGCCCTCAAAAAGTTGACATTCCAGCCCTGGCCAGTTTGGCTCAGCGGTTAAAGCATCAGTCTGCGGACCAATGAGTCGTGGGTTCGATTCCGGTCAAGGGCATGTACCTCCATTGTGGTTCGTCCCCGGCCCTGGTCAGGTCGTGCGGGAGGCAACCAGCGGATGTGTCTCACACCAATGTTCCTCTCTCCCTCCCTCAAACTTAATCTGAAGATAAACAGAAAAAGAAATATCCTCGGGTGAAAATTTTTTTCAAAAGTTGATCTTTCAGCAGGACAATAAGACAACATTTAATAGACAATGAAAAAGCCAGGATATGGTGTGTTCGTTGGTAAACACTTATGACAAAAACAGCCAGTCGCCTGGCCAGTGCGGCTCCGTGGTTGAGCGTCGACCCATGCACCAAGAGGTTATCGGTCAATTCCTGGTCAGGACACATGCCCAGGTTGTGGGCCCGATCCCCAGTGGGAGGTGGCCAGTCAATGTTCTCTCTCATCGATGTTTCTGTCGCTCTTCCTCTCCCTCTCTCGCTAAAATCAATAAAGAAAAATAAAAAGAAAAGGAAGAAAAACAGCCAGAGAAGGGGCTGAGGCGTCGAGGCCCAGGGTGAGAAAGTTACACAAGTCAGGGAAGGCCTCAAGGGTGTGAGCACAGACATCAGGGAGGCGCTAGAGGCCACTTGGGAGTGCCTGAGAGAAGAGCTTCCAGGCAGCGGGAACTGTATGTTCAAAGGTCCTGGGGTGGGAGAGGGGACAGGTGTGTCCAAGCCACCGCAGGAGGCCAGTGTGGCTGGAGACTGGTCACGGAGGCACTGGGAGGGCAGATCCCATGGGGCCTCGTTGGCCATTTTTTTGACTCCAGAAAGGGCCGCGGAGGGGTCCGAGCAGGGGAGGGACCTAACGTGACCCGGCCAGATGTGAGCAGGCTGTGGGCATGAGGCGAAGCAGGCCGGCCGTGAGGAGGTGCGTTGGTCTAGGCAGAAAGCATGGTGGCTCAGACCAGGCTGGTGGAGGTGAGGATCGTGGGCAACGGGCAGACGCTGGGCAGATCCGGAAGTGGAGCCCGACTTGCTGAGGGGCTTGGGTCCCCCTGAGGCTTTGGGCCTGAGGAGTGTGGGAGGAGCCGGCTGGGGAGGGTGAGTCAGGAGACCCCGCTGGCCCAGCTCGGGGTTGGCGCTGGACTTGGCACCAGGAATCTGGGGATGCAGAAGAGGAGGCCCTGCTCCAGAGGAAGTGGCAGGCCGTGGGGGAGGCGGGTGCAGCGGGATGAGGCCAGGGCTCCCCCTTCATGGCTACACCGGCCCCGCAGAGCTCTGGGGCAGGCAGGGAGTCACAGAGGACATGGCCCTGGCAGGGTGTCAGCATGCCCGCCGAGGTCCGGCACTGCCCCTGGGCTCTGGCCTTCCTGTCCCCCAGAATTCCAGGAAGACAGGTGCGAGCCCCAGGGGGCAGTGTGGCTGGTCAGGGCAGGCTGGGGGTAACAGGGAGGGGAGTGAAAGCGGAAGGAGCCAGGGGGCCCTCCTGTCTGCCATCTGTCTATGCAAATGGCCTCTGACTCATTGCACCCCTCACCCCCACCCCTGCTGCCTTAGGCAGGGAGGGGGCTACGAGCTTGTGAAATTCTCACTTCCTCTGTTCCCAGCATCACAGCGGGAAGGGACAGCATACCAAGCAAGACCCTCTGGAGAAGTCCCCACTCCTTGTCATGGTAGGACAGCAGCCCTTGGCCCGCCGGGGAGGGGACAGCCTGGGGACTGGGGAGAAAGTGGGCTTGGCAGCTGCGGACCACAATGGAAAGGGCCACAACTCACACGGCCCCGAGGACACTCCCTGAACCCTGAAGCCAGAGCAGAAGCCCCGCTCCGAGCAGGCAGCCCCCCTGCGTGGATGAGGAGGCTGAGGCTGGCTCTAGGTGCCCAGGGGTGAAGGCAAAGCTGGGCACCTAGGCCTGGGCTCTGTCTGACCCTTTGCTGCTCACCCCCCTCTGACCCATTCTGACCATGGACGGCCCAGCGCTCTTGGGCAGAGGGGAAAAGAGCTGGGCAGTGCCCACCCTTGCCAGGGCCCAGGGTGGTACCCAGCCCGTACCCCAGGAAGAGACCCTCATTCCTGCCTGGGTCTTGGCCAAAGGCGGAGGGAGGGGCCGGGGAGCTGGTGGAGGGCAGAGGGGCCTCGGGACTCAGGAGAGAAGAGCAATGGCCTGAGGGAGGGAGGAGGAATGGGGGAGCCCCTGGGCCCGTGGACCACCTGCTGGCTCTCTTGTCCAGCTGGGGTTTGATTGAGCGGAGGCTCTAGATCATGAGTCTGGGTTCCAGGTTTCAGAAGCTGTTCTGAGCCAAAGGCTGGGTCTGCGAACCAAGCCCAGGTTCCCCAGGAGCCTTGGAGTTGGGATGGGGGCTGGGCAGAGAGGCAGGAGCCTACCTGGGGAGGGCTGGAGGGGGGACTCCATGACGAGGGCCGAGGCGGTACAGCTGGGGCTGCACACTCATGGCCCCCACCCCCAGGGCCCCTGCCGTGGTGCCCTGCTCCCCCTGTGTCTCCTGCTGCAGGCCGAGGTGCTGGGCGTGGCCCTGGCCCAGGGCGCCCTGCCCGCCTTCCTGCCCTGCGAGCTTCAGAACAGCACCCGAGTCAACTGTGAGTGGCTGTTCCTGACATCCGTGCCCCACTTCTTAGCATCTGAGCCCCGTGGCAACATCACCAGCCTGTCCTTGCGCTGCAACCGCATCCGCCACCTTCACAACTTCGACTTTGCCCACCTGTCCAGCCTGCAGACTCTGGACCTCAAGTGGAACTGCCCGCCGAGCAGCCTCAGCATCATGCACTGGGCCTGCCACATGACCATCGAGCCCAACACCTTCCTGGCCGTGCCCACCCTGGAGGAACTGAACCTGAGCTACAACAACATCACGACCGTGCCCGCCCTGCCCCACTCCCTCAGGTACCTGTCTCTGAGCCGCACCAACATCCTGGTGATCGACCCCACCAGCTTCTGGGGCCTGCATGCCTTGAGCCACCTGTACATGGATGGCAACTGCTACTATGAGAATCCCTGCGGCCGAGCCGTGCAGGTGGCCCCGGGCGCCCTCCTGGGCCTGAGGAACCTCACCCACCTGTCGCTCAAATACAACAACCTCACGATGGTGCCCCGAAACCTGCCCCCCAGCCTGCAGAACCTGCTGCTGTCCTATAACCGCATTGTCTCCCTGGAGCCTGCAGACCTGGCCAACCTCACGGCTCTGCGTGTGCTTGACGTGGGTGGAAACTGCCGCAGGTGTGACCACGCCCGCAACCCCTGTGTGGAGTGCCCCAAGGGTTTCCCCAAGCTTCACTCCGACACCTTCAGCCACCTGAGCCACCTGGAAGGGCTGGTGCTGAAGGACAGCTCACTCTACGAACTGGACACTGGATGGTTCCACGGCCTGAGCAACCTGTCAGTGCTCGACCTGAGCGAGAACTTCCTGTCTGAGTGCATCACGTCCACCCTGGCCTTCCAGGGCCTGAAGAAGCTGCGCAAGCTCAACCTGTCTTTCAATTACCACAAGGGGGTGTCCTACGCCCACCTGGTCCTGGCCAAGTCCTTCGAGAGCCTGTTGAACTTACAGCAGCTGGACATGACTGGCATCTTCTTCCGGGAGCTCAGCGAGAACACTCTCCACTCGCTGACCCAACTACCTAGGCTGCAGCAGCTGAGCCTCCAGATGAACTTCATCAACCAGGCCCAGCTCAGCATCTTCCAGGCCTTCCCCAGCCTGTGCCATGTGGACCTGTCCAACAACCGCATCAGTGGGTCCTTGGGGTCGATGGCCTCCGCGGCGGAGGTGGATGCTGAGGAGGAGGTCCGGCTGCCCCCCGGCCCTCTAGCACCAGGCCTCCAGGACACCCCCAGCTCTGAGGACTTCATGCCAAGCTGCAAGGCCTTCAACTTCACCTTGGATCTGTCCCGGAACAACCTGGTGACCATCCACCAAGAGATGTTCTCTGGGCTGTCCCGCCTCCAGTGCCTACGCCTGAGCCACAACTGCATCTCGCAGGCGGTCAACGGCTCCCAGTTTGTGCCACTGACCAGCCTGCAGGTGCTCGACCTGTCCTACAACAAGCTGGACCTGTACCACGGGCACTCATTCACGGAGCTGCCACAGCTGCAGGCCCTGGACCTCAGCTACAACAGCCAGCCGTTCAGCATGCAGGGCGTGGGCCACAACCTCAGCTTCGTGGCGCGGCTGCGCAACCTGCGCTACCTCAGCCTGGCGCACAACTCCATCCACAGCCGCGTGTCCCCGAGGCTCAGCAGCGCCTCGCTGTGGGCCCTGGACTTCAGCGGCAATGCCCTGAACCGCATGTGGAACGAAGGAGACCTCTACCTCCACTTCTTCCAAGGCCTGAGACAGCTGGTCAGACTGGACCTGTCGCAGAACCACCTGCACGCCCTCCTGCCGCACACCCTGGGCAACCTCCCCAAGAGCCTGCGGCTGCTTCGTCTCCAGCACAACTACTTGGCCTTCTTCAACTGGAGCAGCCTGACGCTCCTGCCCAACCTGGAAACCCTGGACCTGGCGGGGAACCAGCTGAAGGCGCTGACCAACGGCAGCCTCCCTGTCGGCACGCGGCTGCAGAGGCTGGACTTCAGCCGCAACCACATCAGCTTCGTGGCCCCGGGCTTCTTCGCTCAGGCCGTAGGGCTGCAAGAGCTCAACCTCAGTGGCAACGCCCTCAAGACAGTGGAGCGCTCCTGGTTCGGCTCCATCCCGGTCAACCTGACAGTCCTGGACGTGAGCGCCAACCCCCTGCACTGCGCCTGCGGGGCGGACTTCCTGGACTTCCTGCTGGAGGTGCAGAGCGCCGTGCCCGGGCTGTCCAGCCAGGTGAAGTGCGGCAGTCCGCGCCAGCTGCAGGGCCGCAGCATCTTCGCACAGGACCTGCGCCTGTGCCTGGACGAGGCCCTCTCCTGGGACTGCTTCAGCCTCTCGCTGCTGGCTCTGGCCCTGGGCCTGGCCCTGCCCCTGCTGCAGCACCTCTGTGGCTGGGACCTCTGGTACTGCTTCTACCTGGGCCTGGCCTGGCTGTCCCGGCGGGGGCGCCGGCGGGGCAAGGATGCCCTGCTCTACGATGCCTTCGTGGTCTTCGACAAGTCGCACAGCGCGGTGGCCGACTGGGTGTACAACGAGCTGCGCGTGCAGCTGGAGGAGCGTCGCGGGCGCCGGGCGCTGCACCTGTGCCTGGAGGAGCGGGACTGGGTCCCCGGCAAGACGCTCTTCGAGAACCTGTGGGCCTCGGTCTACAGCAGCCGCAAGACGCTGTTCGTGCTGGCCCACACGGACCGGGTCAGCGGCCTCCTGCGGTCCAGCTTCCTGCTGGCCCAACAGCGCCTGCTGGAAGACCGCAAGGACGTGGTGGTGCTGGTGATCCTGAGGCCCAACGTGCGCCGCTCCCGCTACGTGCGACTCCGCCAGCACCTCTGCCGCCGGAGCGTCCTCCTCTGGCCCCAACAGCCCAGCGGCCAGAGCACCTTCTGGGCCCAGCTGGGCATGGCCCTGACCAGGGACAACCGCCACTTCTACAACCGAAACTTCTGCCGGGGCCCCACAACAGCCGGGTAGCAGGGGGCAGCCAGCACGCCCCAGCCTGCCTCGCTCTGCCCCTCACCCCTACCCCCACCCCTGGTATACAGCAGACACTCAATAAATGCCACCCACAGGCCCAATGGCTACCCTGAGCTCAGGAGGCGTGAATGGGGGGAAAGAAGGGAGAAGTCCCCAGCCTTCCTCAAGCGAAGGCACTAGAGGCGATTTTAGGGTCTGCAGGGTCTGCCACCCGCAGCTGTGTTCTCAGGGCGATAGGTCCCTGAACGGTCTAGGTGTCCTGCCGTCTGTGTCCCTGGCAGGGCCAGGCTGCCCTCTGTTGTATATTGGCCTCAGGGTCCACCTTCCTCACCTGCTAGACTGAAAATGTCTTCAGACCTGCCTCCCTTCTGGCCCCCAGCCAAGTCCTGAGGTCGCAGCCCTAGCCCGAGCGGGCGGGAAAGCTCTGTGGTGAGTTCAGAGGGGCGACGGCGCCCTCTGGTGGCCATGCCTGTGCTGCGCCCGACGACAGGGCTGGCCCAGGCCGGAGAGGGGAAGGCCAGCTGGGATGATCCCTGCCGCCAGGAGCAGGGAGCCACAGAAGATTCCAGAGTGAGCTCACAGTCCATCCCTCTCTGCTTCACCGACAGTACATGCTGGGTCTGCTCTGATATAAAGAGACATCTCGGTGAGCCTCCTCCACCTGGTGGCAAAGCTGGGGGCCCCTTCCCTGACTCTGCTTCTCACAACGGATTGGGCTTAGTAGACACAGCTGCGTGGGATCAGAATGGAGTGTGTGTGTGTGTGTGTGTGTGTGTGTGTGTGTGTGAACTTCGAGGCACTACTGGGATCCCCGACGGCCAGTGTTTGAAGACAGCTGCCGGCGTCCGTGTTCTGCACGGGTGTGTGGGAAGTCCTGGGTCATGTCAGGCCTGGAGACACTGAAGTGTTTTGTGCTGGGCCAGTGGCCTCACCATCCGCACAATGAAACTCCCCCTTCGGGAGCAGGAGAGACATGTACTGCCGACAGTGGGAGCTGGGGCCTGGGCGGCAAAGTGGAACCAGTGGACGGCCCAGGCCAGTGTGAGGCCGCTGGGGGAAGGCTGGAGCTGGCTGCGGCTTTGCTAATCCTGCAGCCTGACTGTGGGCAGCCCCAGGGTGGGGTTGGGGCCGTTTCTGCCCTCACAGCTGGGAGAGAAATGTAGGCCACCTTCCTCTTTCTGACTTGGGCACAGGGGCCTCTGCCGTGGGCTGGTGTCCCTCGTTATCCGCTTGCCTGAAAGAAGACAGAAGGAGGGTCTCTGACCCACCGACGAGGAGCCCCGCGTGGGCTCGGTCCTGTCCTGAGAGGCCAGCCTGGCTCCTGGAGACGCGGGGCACAGCACACACTTCCTTGGCCCCCTGCCTGGGTCACAGAAAACAGGAACCGTCCTGTCCCGGGCTGGCGGCTGGAGGAAGCTGCTGTGGAGGGTCAGGAGCAGGAAGCAGTTTGCCTGTCTCAGAACAGCTGGGTCTGCTCCCACCCCACTCCTGCCCACAGTCCTGGTCTCGGGGCTCTGCATGTTCAGAAGGACATTTTGGAGATGAAGATGGGCTGTGGTGGGACTGTTGGGCTCCGGTCTACAGGATGAGGAGGGCCAGAGCTCCCCTCTCCCAGGAGGCTCCCCTGCAGGAGGCGTGGGGGGCGGGGACAGAAAGGGTGCTCAGCCCACCATAGGCCCAGGCCTCTCCACACTGCCAGGCACGCCCCATCGACAGCGCCTGCAGGCGGGAAGAGATGGGCCTCAGATTGCCAAGGTAAGGACCAGCTCTGCCACCTAGGGGCAGGTGTGAGCTCCCGCAGAGCCTCAGCTTGCTCATCTGGAAATGGAGCTGGCCACCGCTGCCATTGGGTTCGTGACCATGGGTGTGAGGTCTGACAAACCTAGCAGGTCCCCCTCGGTCGTCATTATCAGGGGTTGTGCTGAGGGCAACCAGCTCATGGGGCTTCGATGTTTTCTCTCTCTATCCAGAGACCGATCCTCCCGAGCCAGGGTCGCTGCCCGGAGCACTGGCCAGGGATCAGAGAGACTCGGTGACTCAGGCACAGAGCTGGGAGCAGGGCCGGGCACCTGCAGACACTGGCCTTACCTCCTGTTGTTGGCTTTGGGGGAGCAGGGAACACTAGCGAGACAGGAACTCCTGAGAGCAACGCTACCTGCTGAGATTTGAAACCACACCTCACCTTTCCCTCCAGGACAGTTCAAGGTGCTGGGCTTCTAAACACTCGTGGAAAACTTCCGTGACCTCATTTGTTTTCACCTGAGGTCTTACCAGAAGCCAGCTCCTCGTTCTGAAGTTCACAAATCCCGCCCCTTCCTGCGGGCCCTCCGCCATCCTCTGTGACCCCAGGAGCTAAGAGCCCCGAGACCCGCTGGCTCCGAGTCCTGTGAGAAGGGTGGGTGGTGGAAGCCTTCAGAGGAGCAGGGCCCCCTAGAGGACGGGTCCCGGGCACGGGAACGCCGAGAGCCCCGGGAGGCAGAGGCACTGCGGTGACTTTCCTCGTGCCGGTGGCCTGCCGAGGTGTGTGGCCGTCTGATGGGACCAGGGCTCTGCCGATCAGGGTGCCGGCGCCCACTCCCAGCCCTTGGGCAGGGCCACAGCAGCCCTTCCCAGAACTTGGGGTTCTTTGTCCTCCAGCGGCTTGGGCTCTCTCCAGCTCACTTCTTCCTTCTGGGGAAGCGGGCATGGGCGCCGCCATCCTCCCTGTACGGGCTGAACGTCTGCCCCCCACCTCCCACCCCGATTCCTGTGCTGAACCCTAACCCCAGTGTGGTGGCATTTGCAAGTGAGACCTTGGGAAGGTAGACTTAGACCAGGTCATGAAGTGGGACTCTCGCGAGAAGAGGAAGACCTCCCTGCCTGCCCACGAAGAGGCCACGTGAATTCAGCCCACAGCGAGGAGGCGGCCATCAGCACGCAGGGGGCATGCTGTCCCCAGGAGCCAAGGGGCCAGCCCCCGGACCTCGACCTCCCAGCCTCCAGAACTGTGAGACACCACTGTCTGCTGCCGAGTCCACGGTGTCTGTCACCGGGCCTGGGCTGAGACAGTCTCCTTCATTCAGCACATGTGCTCAGGGCCTCCTGTTAGGTGCTGTGCTGGCCACTGGGCTGCAGATGTGAGGAGACGGCCGATGGTCCACGGCCGGTCAGTGGCGGGGCGGGGCTGTGAAGGGCACAGGGATGGCCGGAGGGCAGGTGAGGACAGGACCCGAGAGCTGCCGCAGGCCGGGGCTCGGCCGAGCCCTTGTCCTGGGAGAAGTGCAGCCCCACCGGGGTCCAGGTGGGGAAACCATGGCTGCCACCAAGGCCTGGGGCCAGAGGCCCTCCTGGGGGCTTGAGGCTGGGGGTGGTGCCCACAGGATCGGAGGGAGGAACGAGGGGGGTCCCGGGGTCCCGGAGAACAGCGTCAGCTGTGAGGAGGCGATGACAGCCCAGGGCCTCTCCTGCACGGAGGGTGTGCTGATCTAGGCGCCGTGTGGGGTCGAGGCTGGGGCAGTTGGCACGATGACAGCGGTGTGAAGGGAGCGGGGAGGTGGCGGGATGTGGCCTGGCCCGAGATGTATCTGAGGCCCGAGTGACCGGCGGAAGGTCAGACGGGGGAGGCAGCCGGCCAGGGTGGCTCCAGGTGTTGGAGAGCTGGACTGGAACCCCGCAGGGCGAGGCCCATTGGGAGGGAAGGGGTTAAGGCAGCCAGACAGGATGGCAGGGGAATTCGTGGCAGGAAGGGCGGAGAAAGCTGTAACAGGCGAGGACAGCCACCTCAGACACTGGGACAGCCGGCGGCAGGCGCACAGAGCCAGCCAGACAGTGAGGCGGGCCAAGAGAGCGGCTCCATAGGGGACAGGGCCCACAGACCCAGTGGGGAGGGACCAGCAGAAAAGGGACAGCAGCTAGAAGGGAGCTGGGGAGAGCTTTTCCCTTTTTTAAGTTGATTGGGTAACACTGGTCAGTGACGTAAGTCTCAGCGCACCGCTCGGTGCCATCCGTCGTGTGCTCACAAGTCTAGGCTCCTTTCGTCACCGTGCATGTGACCCTCTTCACCCTGCACCCTTCTAGTAACCAGTTCTGCTGGGGTTTTTGTTGCGTTATATCAGCATATAAGTGAAATCAGACTGTTCTTGCCCTTTCCCGCGTGACTCAGCACGATCCCTCAGATCCATGCTGGAGCCCAGCCGGTGTGGCTCAGCACCGAGGTGGCTGCTTCGATTCCCGGTCAGGACACAGGCCCAGGTTGTGGGCCAAATCCCCAGAGGGGGCACACAGGAGGCGGCCAATCGATGTTCTTTCTCGTTGATGTTTCTCTCTCCTTCTCCCTCCCTCTCTCTAAAATCAATAAAGAGGGGGGGAAAGCATCGAAAACTTTAAAAAAAAAACCACGGCAGCGTTTCATTTTCACAGCTGAACGATATTCCCCTGTATACACGGACCGTCTGTATCCCTCGTTGTCAAAGGACACCTGAGCTCGGTTGCTTCCAGGTGGGTCACGACGCCCGCTGCCGAGGGCTGAGCAGGATGGGATCCCTGAAGACAGCGGCTGCCGGCGCGCGCAGGCAGCAACGGACAGGGACGCGAGGGACGCGCCCGCCCACCGTCCAGGAGGGCACAGGACGGGGCAGGGCAGCCGGAGGCCCGACCTGCACGGGAAGTGCGGCCGCGGCAGCAGCGGGAAGGGAAAGGGGAGCGGGCAGCCGCGGCAGGTTGCTGGGCGCGGTTAAGATTGGAGGCAAGAAATTGAAAGTGAAACTGCTGCCCTGGCCGGTTTGGCTCAGCGGTTGGAGCGTCGGCCTGTGGTCCAGAGAGACCCGGGTACGGTTCCCGCTAGGGGTGCGTGCCTCAGTGCAGTTTGTCCCCGGCCCTGGTTGGTCGTGCGGGTGGCAGCTACTCAACGTGTCCCTTTCATGTCGATGTCTCTCTCTCTCTCTCCCTCCCACTCTGTCTGAACAAAAAATGGAGAAATGTCCTCGGGTGAGGATAAAAAAAAAAAAAGAAAGTGAAGCTGCTGTCACTGCAGCGGCCTGTCCCACGAGCAGGCTCTCGGAGGAGGCTGGGCTCCAGCAGGGCGGCAGGGCCCGAGCCGTCAGCAGGGACCAGTGTGTCCTCAGACACCTGACCCATCTCAGCGATACAGACCAAGCTCAAAGGAGGAAGAAAATGACTTCGATTCAGTAGCCAAAACCAGGAGGACCCATGACTTAAACAAGAATTTATTTTCAGGACTATGCTTTTACTTCAGATTACAATGTGCTATAATTTAATCTGCGTAGAAAGCCGACGCCGGCCTGTATGGATGCGAACGGCGGGGCCGGCGGGGGCGGGCAGGCCCCTCAGGCCCGGGCAGAGACCAGCTTGCTCAGGCCGGAGAAGTAGGCCCGCTCTCTCTCACTCATCACTTCGAAGTGCAGCGGCCTCCTGCAGAAGTTGCATTCGGCCGAGGAATGTGGCTTCAGGTCCAGCCCCACCCGCTTCCACGTGGCCAGCAGGTTCTCTGTGGGGACAGACAGTTTGACAGAATTCAAAGGAATATGCACCCAAGAGAAATGAGAATATACCCAACCAAAAACCTGCGCACAGATGTTCAGAGTCACTATTTTCACAATAGTCAAAAGGTGGGAACCTAAGCGTCCATCAGTTGGACACATGGGGTCCATCCGAACCAAGGAGGACTGTGTGGTAAGGAAGAGAAACGGAGCCGATTCGTGCTCCGGCGCGAGCCCGGGCAACCCTGCCGTGGAGGAAGCCGGCACGAGACCACACACCGCGGCTCCGCTCCAGGAAACGGGAAGTGTGGTGAACACACAGACGGGGCGAGGGGGGGGGAGAAAGTGGGGAGCAGCTGCTAATGACTGTGGGGTTTCTCTTCAGGGTGATGAGAATTCTGGACTCGGACGACGTACACCCAACAGACAGTCCCCTCCCCCTTATTCTATTTCCCTTTCTGTAGTTTCAGTTACCTGCAGTCAACTGTGGTCTGGAAATATTAAAAGGAAAATTCCAGAAATAGTTCCTAAGTTTTAAATCGCACACTCTCTGACTAGCGTGACAAAATCTCCACTCTCATCAGAAGGGGTAGGTGTGGCGTTGGCCAGGTGTGCAGATGGCGCAGGGACCACATAGTGTCAGGGAAGAGAGAGGAGCAAAGCTAACCCCGAGGCCAGGACAGACTCAGGCCTTTGGAGGCCTCTGTCCCCTCCCCGGCAACAGCCGTCACTGTGCGTGAGTTGCCGACAGGGGCCCTGGACAACCTGGGTGGGTCAGCAGGCTCCCTCAGGCCTTCCAAACGCTGCAGCCTCCCACAGTGAATCGAACACCTGAACGGCCTTAGCGTCTGCACGTCTGAGGGCACCCAGTGACGGCCACTGCTGAGGGAGGCCGGCGGCACTCACCAAGGAAGTAGTCCATCATCTGGGGGGTGTGGTGCGGGGTGGGGGCGATCCGCAGCAGCTCTTCCCCCCGGGGCACCGTGGGGTAGTTGATGGCTTGCACGTAGATGTTATGTCTGCTCATTAGCTCGTCACAGACTTCTGTGTTTTTAGCAGCATCTGCCACCTGAGTTTGACGATGACACAAGGTTAAGACCAGGGCAGGACAGACCACCGCAGTGGAGTCTAATGAGACCCACGCGGTGAGGGACAGGCCCCAGCCGACAGGGAACCAGACCGGTGATGTCGGTGCCCCCAGGCTCACGTGGGAGTGGCGGCTGGCACAAAGCCAAGGCGCGGCAAATTGGGGATGGAGGCAGCTTTGGGTACCCCAGCCGTGCTAACTACTCTGACCCCACGGTGACGCCCATGGATTCCTGCTCACAGAGGGAGCCAGGGCCTGCTCTGAAATGAACTGAATAGGGAGCCGTACTTCAGAGCCAGCCAAGCTCTGCTTTGGGCGTTTCCAGATATGAGCTGTGTTTACCCTGTTGAGGCCAGTGCTCTGGGGAAGGAGCCTCTGCTCCAGCCTGCTGGGTTCAAAGGCTTCGTGCTCGCTGTGACGTCAGCCAAAGGCGGACACTCAGCGAGGGACATCCGCCCGGCCCTGCCCGGGCAGCCACCCCACCCAGCCCAGATCGTCCCGAGGCCCACGCCCGCCGGCCGGCCGTTACCCGGACAGGGATGATGTGACTGGGGCAGTGCACGACGGGGAGGCCGGCGTCCATGAGCATCTGCCGCAGGAGCTTGACGTTGCGCTGGTGCTGGCGGCGCAGCGCCCGGCCCTCGGCGCTCTTGAGGACCCGCACGGACTCCAGGGCTCCGGCCAGCAGCATGGGCGGCAGCGAGGTGGTGAAGATAAAGCCAGCCGCGTAGGAGCGCACGGTGTCGATCAGGGAGCGCGTGCTGGCGACGTACCCGCCCACACAGCCGAAGGCTTTGCCTGGGAGGAGACGCCCCTTACTACCCGCCAGCAGCCCTCGGCGCAGGGCGCTCTGGGCCTCGGCACTGACTCCCCTCCTCCGTTCGCGCGCTGAGCACACCCTGGAGGCGGAGTGTAACCCAACAAAGGCATTTAGCTGTTTTGGTGGGACCGGTATTATTTCCTGTCCAGGGCAATTTCAGGCCAGCCTCATTTTTCAAGCCTCGTTAAGTCCCTTTATATAATCTGTGTCTCAGGTTCCAGGATTAATGATTCCAGAGTCCCGAGACCAGAACGTTATGTTCCGGGACTAACACTCCTCGCACCCCATGCAGGGTGGGTGCTGCACGCTCCCCCGAGATGCCTCTCCGGCCTTCCCGTTTCATGGTGACACCCCTCCAGAGCCCTGTCAAGGGCGCTGCTGAGAAGAGCTGCTGGGACCTGGACCCCGAACAGGGGCCCCCAGGGCTGACCCGAGCCTGGGCCTCCGCCGCCTCCTCAGCTCGCCCTCCTTCACCAGCTGCCCCGAGTCTCCAGCCGCCTCACTATCCTGAACTCAACTGTATGCGATTTACATCTCTTTAGACGTCTAAGTTGAGAGTCTCATGGGCAAAGAATGTCCACAGTAATTATTGTCACACAATTCATTTACCTTCTTCCATAAAACCCGAGGGGGATGCTATTGTTATCGCTATTCTACTGGGGAGACAGGCCAGCCCGGCCCACCAGCAGCCCCAGGCCGCAGCGAGTGGGCTCCACGGGGAGGACTCTCCGCCCGCAGGCCGCGGCGAGTGGGCTCCGCGTTGGGCCCAGGAGCCCCGCCTCCCCACGGGGAGCAGCAGCGGTCGCAGAGAGGCTCGCGAGGGGCTGGTTCCCGCAGAGCAGCTCCGCCCGGCACAGCACCGGACCTGCGGGTCTTGCCAGCACTGAGGGCGAGGGAAGGCGGCTGCCATGGCAGGTCGCTGGAGCCACAGCTGTGTGGAACGCGTTCTGGTGGCCACACTGGCGTTTCTGTCTGTCCGGCTGCTTGAGCCAGACCTCCAGGCTCCAAGGGACTCTGCCAGGCTGTACCCGCTCCTCACTGAGAAAGGAAAAACTCACCCCAAAACTGGCCCAGGCTTTCTATGCTCCTCACCTGCCCCGCTAGCAGTCCATGGACGCGCGGGACAGGGGAACCCGGGGTGGGTGCAGGACGCGCAGGACACATACCGAGCGTCCCGGAGATGATGTCCATCTTGGGCATGACTCCGTCCCGGTCGCCGATCCCTCCGCCGCGGGCCCCGTACAGCCCCACCGCGTGCACTTCGTCCACGAAGGTGATGGCCCCGAACTCGTGGGCCGTGTCGCACAGTTCTTCCAGCGGGCACACTGCCCCTGCGGGAGACACGGGCCACTCTGAAGGGCTGGACCGGGGGGGACCCAATTCTGCTTTGCTGAGAGTCAGCCAGAACAAGATGACTTATGCTGTAGGTACATATTTTTAATATTGAGGAAATAAATGAACTTTCCCCAGTTTCTAGGTGATCTTGGAGTCTCAGAACCGAGTAAAAATCAGAGTAGAAAGTCTACATTTACCCAAATCCATACAATGTCCACCAATTACAAAATCCTAGCAAAGAGTTAAAAGAAAAGAAATTACAAAAACTAAATAAACACACTTTTAAAGGTTTTTCATTTCAGGCTTCAGACTGGCCTCTGTTAGACTCACCATCCATGGAGTGGACAGTTTCAAAGGCTACAATCTTGGGGACCTGGGGGTCGGATCTCTGCAGCAGCTCCCGGAGGTGGCTGACGTCATTGTGGCGGAAGATGTACTTTGGCACCCGGCTGTTCCGAATCCCTTGGATCATGGAGGCGTGGTTCCCAGAATCAGAGTAAATCTCACAGCCTGACGTGACAGAAATGTTATGATTGTTATTTTTTAATCTTCATCTGAGAATGTATCATCAGACAGAGTGGGAGGGAGGGAGGGAGAGAGAGAGAGAGAGAAACATCGATGTGAGAGGGACACACTGACTGGTTGCCTCCCACACGACCCCGACCAGGGCTGGGGACGAACCACAACCAAGGTTCGGGCCCTTGACCAGAATTGAACCTGTGACCCATTGGTCCACAGGCCAATGCTCTAACCACTGAGCCAAACCAGCCAGAGCCAGGAATACTGTTATGGCCATCTTCACCAAAGACAAATGATTTCTTAGACACCCAGGGCAACAGACTGCTCAGAGCAGGCTGCATTTGCCCCGCAGGGAAGAGCCGCTCAGCGCCGGCTTCCTCTGGCAAACGGCTAGCAGGGCTCCTCCGCCGAGAAGGCCCACGAGTGAGGTGACCCTGCAGCAGGCAGTTACTCTGCTCTTACATCCGGCTGCCTCACTCCAAACTCAGTCAGAAGATAGCTACAAACCATCAGAATTTTCCACAGGACTTTCATAGACTACAAAACACATTTGAAGCAATCAGCTTAAGGACAAGCCCTGCCACTCTGACCCTTCCCTGGAGTCAGGCCCGCTGGACCTCAGGCCGCGCGGGCACTCACACTCCGTCCAGGACACGGAGTCAGGCCCGCTGGACCTCAGGACGCGCGCGGGCACTCACGCTCCGTCCAGGACACGGAGTCAGGCCCGCTGGACCTCAGGACGCGCGCGGGCACTCACGCTCCGTCCAGGACACGGAGTCAGGCCCGCTGGACCTCAGGACGCGCGGGCACTCACGCTCCGTCCAGGACACGGAGTCAGGCCCGCTGGACCTCAGGCCGCGGGCGGGCACTCACGCGCCATCCAGGACACGGAGTCAGGCCCACTGGACCTCAGGCCGCGGGCGGGCACTCACGCTCCGTCCAGGACACGGAGTCAGGCCCGCTGGACCTCAGGCCGCGGGCGGGCACTCACGCGCCATCCAGGACACGGAGTCAGGCCCACTGGACCTCAGGCCGCGGGCGGGCACTCACGCTCCGTCCAGGACACGGAGTCAGGCCCGCTGGACCTCAGGACGCGCGCGGGCACTCACGCTCCGTCCAGGATAAGGGCCCAGCTGCTGCCACAACTCTGAGTGCTTCCGGTGAGCCTTCTCTGTTGTCACACTCCTCTTACATTACCCCCGTTATCTAGAGGGGACACGTTCTGAATCCCCCAGTGGACGCCTCAAACAACTGTGGATACTACTCAACACTGTATGTACTATGTTCTTTCCTGTATGTACACACCTATGGTAAAGTTAAATTTATAAATCATACAATCCCACGGACAGAATTTTTTTTTAATCCTCACGCGAGGACATTTTTGCATTTATCTTCAGACAGAGCGGGAGGGGGAGAGAGAGAGAGAGAGAGAGAGAGAAACATCGATGTGAAAGGGACACATTGAATGGTTGCCACCCACACGACTCCAACCAGGGCCGGGGACAAACTGCAACTGAGGTACATGCCCTCAGCGGGAACCGAACCCGGGTCTCTCCGGTCCGCGGGCCAATGCTCTAGCCGCTGAGCCACGCTGGCCAGGGCGGATTCGTTCTCACTGTAGATCTCAGCCACCTCAGCATACATTTCATTTTTAAGTCATGAACTTCCACCTTTGCACTTAAAGGAAGCACGTGATACCTCGACAGCTCCTCTGACACATGAGACACTCCCGAGAGACTAACAGATGGGAGCACATGCTTCGGGGAGACGCTGGACACAGGGATGAGTCATGTCCCGGGGGCACGGAGCAGGACTTGGAGATTTTATCACACAACTCGGAGTGACATGCAATTTAAAACTTATGAATCATTTACTTCGGGAACTTTCCGTTTAATATTTTGGCTGCAGCGGAGCACGGTAACGAACGCAGAGCAGACCGGCGCTGCCGTGGCCGGCGGGCTCCCTTACCTGGCATCATCTTGGCCAGAGTGAAGAGGGTCGAGTCGTTGGCCACGAAGCAGGAGGAGAACAAGAGGGCCGCGTCCTTCCCGTGCAGGTCGGCCAGCTCCTGCTCCAGGTCCACGTGGAACTTACTCGTTCCAGAAATGTTCCTGGTCCCACCTGCTCCCGCGCCATGCTGTTTCAAAGTTTCCCTTCACAGAGAGCAGACAGAAACAAGCCTCCTGAGGCGAGCACGTGCGAACCGCTCCTCCCGGGATCTGGGAGACGAACTCCTGCGGATCTGGGAACTCTCACGGGGGCCAGAACTGCAGACCAACTCCATGGTGGAGGAAGAGGGAGGAGGTCCCAACACAGGGTGACGGTGCCTCCCAGGGGTCACAAAGTGCTCACTCAACAGTCACCTGTCACCTGAGTACTTAGCACTAGCTGAGTTGACTTACTAAGGTTTCCTTCCTGTGACAAACATCACTCTCCAATAACACGACTTCAGACCCCAGGGGACTTCATGATGGTGGCTGCCTAAACCCTCTGCTGACCAGCCACACATTAGGACAGATCTGTCACTAAGCCCCAGACGGGCTGTCACCACGCGAGCAGCTCGCCCAGTGCCCCTTGGCACGGAGCCCTCCGGCAGGACACGAGACCTGCCAGCGCTCTGCAGCAGCTCCCGTGCTGCCCACGCGTGTCCGGCATCTGCGGCACGAGCGCGGCTGCCTGTGCTGAGGGCACTACGTGCAGTGACAGGAAGTGGACAGACAGGCGTACGATGAACCTCACGCACAAAGGGGCCTCACCGACTACTGCGCTCAGGTCTCTCTGAAGTCGATCTAAAGGCTACGACCGGCCTGTGCCGCGGCGACTTGCAGCCGCTGCACGTCCCCCACAGACCACTGCCTGTGCATCAAGGTCCTGCCAAACAATGCCAGTGGGCTCCGGGGCTGAGGGCTACGTACATGACTGCCCCACACACCCGTGGGTGGCGACTCATTCCCAGGTAGTCGTTGCTGCACCAGACTGACACCTGCTTTTTGCTGATGAGGGAATCCGAGTAGTCATCCGCCATGGGGAAGAGGTGTGCCCTCCGGTTCACGGTCTTGAAAACTCGATAGGTATGGTCATTTTTCTTCTCCTCAATTTTCTTCTCAAAGAAACGATCATACTGAAAAGTGGACACAGCTAAAAACCAGAAAAAGACAGTATATAGTCTGATGGTTAAGAAGCACATCTGGGCTTTGGTGAAAGACCCGGGTTCCCATCCCAGCTCAGTCACTTAGCAACAGAGAGATGCTGGGAAAATTAATGATGTGCTCGTGTGGGCGAGTTACTGCACGTCCTCATCGGGGACTGTGCGTGTCAAGTGTCTGCAGTGCCCGGTGGAGGGGCAGGTGTTACAGAGAAGGCGGGGCACCCGCAGGGCTCGCGTGCACGATGGCCGAGAGCACCTGCGGGCACGGAGCAGGGCTCTGGTCCACTCGTCACATGCAGGGCGATGTTGGATCTGATGCATGTTTCAGTTCTGAACTCTCCTGCAGCTGGCTGGCACCAGTGAGTCTTACATTTTGGCAAGTTATCCTGAAGCAGGTGGGACACTCTTTCTGGCCGTTGCTTTCGCATGATGTCCTGGAAGTTCTTCAGCAAACCGCCGGGCTCTCCTCCATCCGTCTTCACACTGACCACACCGGGGTCCCCTGAGGCTTGGGCCACCTCTGCAACAAAGTACCAAGGGGCGGAGGGACCAGCACTGCATCTCAGTCCGTGCCTTCCAGACAGGCCGTCACACATGCTGACACCCACCGTGACCGCACTGAGCTGTGACTGAGCAAGGACGCTCTGCTGCCCTTCAGTTACAGAATGGCCAGAGGCAGGGCTACCAGCCAGCCTTGACGAATGTTCAAATCCAAAGCTCTCTAGCTGGGTGGCATGTCTTCCCCACCCACCACACCCCAACCCTAATCTGTTTCCATCACAGAAGACAACTCCAGCCCAATGCACCATTTGACTAGTGATGTTTTTCGGGGACCTTGGGTGCTCCACGGAGAAGCCACGCTGGGATTAAGGTTGGATCAGTAACCAGGACACACAGCGCGGGAGTCCGAGGACCACCGCTCACGCAGCAGTGCTGTTCTCCACCTGTTGCCCACCGGCTGCGGCAGAGGAGGAAAGGGCGGCGGGGACACTCATGCCCGCAGGGTGTTCCCAGAAGCCAGGGAGTTCCTGTAAAAGCCGGGCAGGCCCTGCTACACCAAAGAAAGTCCCCCATTGTGCAACGCAGCCTCTGACTATCTCAATGACCTTCCTCCTTGGCTCTAAAAGAGGAAAGTAATTACATAAATGCTACCCTAATAATAGCCTGTAAATAACCCGAGGGTCCGAGAGCCAAGGACTCCTCGCTCCCGCGCTCGCGCCTTACCTTCCCGCACGGCGCGCATCTCCTGCACGTCCTCCTGCAGCTCCAGGCTGGCTCTGCGGAACACGCTGCTGCCCTGCTGGCTCATCTGGGCTGCCAGGAACGGGCATCTGCTCGCAGCGCCCTGGCTCGGGGCCGGGGCCGGGGCCGGGCGTCCAGCGGGAAGCTGCCTGCCATCTGGAGCCAGCTGGGATCCATCCGGAGCCGGCTGAGCCTCGACGTTGGCAGTTTTAACCTCTGGAGGGGGGCGGGTTGGAAAAACTGAAGCACCAGACCTGGTGGCACAGCTCATAAGAAAACCACCCGCTTCGCTTAAGGCCCCAAGACAAACTTGGTACTTACTCCCCCCCACCCCCCGACACATTTATTTTCATCGGGCTCTGCTCGTGTGGCCTGCTCACTGCCTCACTGGGGCAGTGGCGCCGGCGCAGCCCGGCCACCTCACTGTGCTCTCAGACGCCAGGGCTCCCGGCGGAAGTCTTTCCTGCATGTCTGCCCACGTGCACGCAGCATGTTCCATGAGAACACGCTCTCGAAGTCACTGGAAGAAATGTCCACACAGTTTCTTCGCTAATATTTTCTATGGGCTCCTGACAAAGAAGCTTGCTGTTTCTTAACATACACACTATCGCCCTGGCTGGTGTGCTCAGTGGTTAGAGCGCCTCGCGGGTTCGATCAGGTCAAGGGCGTGGACCTCGGTTGCAGTTCGGTCCCCAGCCCTGGTCAGGGTCATGAAGGAGGCAACCAGTCGATGTGTCCCTCTCACATCCATGTTTCTCTCTCTCTCCCTTCCCCCTCACTCTGAAAATCAGTAGAAAAATATTCTCAGGTGAGGATTACAAAATAAAAAATAAATAAACAAATAAAACACACAAACTATTGGTTTTCTTCTCAACAAAAGAAATCAGGCTAAAAGTAAGATGCTTAGACTGTTGTCTAATAGAGTTCAAGTTATTACTGTGTCACAGACACACACATCATCATCGTTCACCAACTTCCCACAGGGGGCTTCTAGTTACAATGACGTCCCTCTCCCCTTCAGCAAATTCACCTTCCTCCATCATTCTGGAATATTCCTGTGAGTCATAGGCTAGCCCCTCCTACAACCTGGGTAATATGTCACAATACACATTTTATTAAAATCTTCTATAAAGGAGCCCTGGCCGGTTCTGCTCAGTGGTTGAAGCATCGGCCCGTGGACCAGAGAGACCCAGGTTCGGTTCCTATTGAGGGCATGTGCCTCAGTTGAAGTTTGTCTCCAGCCCCGGTTGAGGTTGTGTGGGTGACAACCATTCAATGTGTCTCTCTCACATTGATGTTTCTCTCTCTCTCTTCTTCCCTCTCTCCCTCCTGCTCTGTCTCAAGATAAATGCAAAAAAAAAAAAAAAAAACTTCTATAAAGAAAAGTTTAAAAAATTGCTTTGACATTCACTTCATTCATTATACATATTCAACGTAGGAAGTCTAGAAAAATAAAGAGTTCTGTCCTTCAGAACATAACTACTAGCCCCGGCTGTGGCTCAGCTGGCTGGAGCATCGTCCCGTACAACAAAGGTGTGGCAAGTTCGATGCCCAGTCAGAGCACATGCCCAGGTTGTAGGTTCAATCTTCAGTCGGGGCATGTACAGGAGGCAACTGATCAATGTCTCTCTCTCTCGTCCTCCCTCGCTCCCTCCCTTCATCTCTAAAATCAATTAAAAAAAATTGATTATAACAAAAACACAACCATTGCAAACATTTGGGTATATTACCTATTTTTCCCTACAGACAGGTTTTTGTTTTTTAATTTTTTTCTTTATTGATTTTAGAGAGAGAGGAAGGGAGGGAGAGTGAGACAGAAACATCAATGAATCCGGTCAGTGTGGTTCAGTGGTTGAGCCATGCACCAGGAAGTCGTGGGTTCGATTCCCGGTCAGGACACATGCCCAGGTTGTGGACCCGATCCCCAGTACGGGGCATGCAGGAGGCAGCCAATCAATGTTCTCTCTCATCAATGTTTCTTATTTTTTTCCTTTATTGATTTTAGAGAGAGAAAAAGTGAGAGGGAGAGAGAGATAGAAACATCGATGAGCGAGAACAATGATTGGCTGCCTCCTGCACGCCCTGCACTGGGGATTGGGTCCTCAACCTGGACATGTGCCCTGACTGGGAATCGAACTGGTGACCTCCTGGTGTATGGGTCGACGCTCAACCACTGAGCCACACCAGCCGGGCTCCCTACGTACAAGTTTAAAAAATGTTTTTCTAAAATTAAAAAAAAGTTTTTTCTCATTCAGTAGATGCTCGTTTATTCTGCTCCTTTCACTGCGGAGCTGCCTGAGCCAGCCGGCTGAGTGTCACCTGCGAGGCTCAGGGCAGCCCGATACGTGGACAGGCCGCATGCCACTCAGCTGTTCCTCCGCTGGCAGGGACACGGTGGCAGGAAAGGGTTCTGACGTTCAGTAAAAAAATAGCTCCTGAACAAAGGTCACGAGGAAAAGAAACCCTATAAAGGTTGAAATCTTTTCTACCTAAAGAAAAAGACATTCCTTTCTTACACGCCCACTCCCAGAGCACACACCTAACAGAGCCCGTGAGGTCAATTATTCCCTTGGATTAAGTGCAACCTGAAACCCTCGTCCTCTCCTGGCAGAGCCAGACCAAACAGAAGCCTACTCTGATCTCTTTATTAAAAACAAAACACTTAAAAATGTTATACAAAATAAAGATCCATGTGTTCAACAATCCTATTTTAACAAATTCTATAGGACTCCACTTCCGTGAGCGTCCTAGAACAGTCACATTCAGAGACAGAGCAGCATGGCGTCGGCCAGGGGCTGGGGGAGGGAGATGGGGAGTTAGTGTGTAATGGGGACAGAGTTTCAGTTTTGCAAGATGAAGAGTTCTGGGGGTGGATGGTTGCGCAACATGAACGTACTTAATGCCACTGAGCTGTATACTTAAAAATGATCGACAATAGCCCTGGTCGGTTTGGCTCAGCGGTTAGAGCGTCAGCCCGCGGTCCAGAGAGACCCGGGTTCCTGCCAAGGGCACGAACCTTAGTTGCAGTTTGTCCCCGGCCCTGGTTGGGTCGTGCGGGTGGCAGCCACTCAATGTGTCCCTTTCACATCGATGTTTCTCTCTCTCTCTTCCTTGCTCTCCCTCCCACTCTGTCTGAATAAAAAATGGAAAAATGTCCTCTGGTGAGAATTAAAAAAAAACAAACAAAAAAAACCCCTAAAAATAAATAAGCACTTTTAAAAAGAAACTTAAGAAAGACTGAGATGGTAACTTTTGTTACATTTTGCCACACTAAAAAGTAATTTTAAAAGGCAAAATAGAACAAAATAACAACTTTAAAAGCCAAAAGCTTCCCCTCAATTTTGCTGTGAACCTGAAATAACTCTAAATATAGTCTATTCGTGACTAGTCAGTGTGGCTCAGTGGTTGAGCATCAACCCATGCACCAAGAGGTTGCTGGTTCGATTCCCAGTCAGGACACACGCCCAGATTGTGGGCCCGATCCCCAGTGGAGGGCATGCAGGAGGCGGCCATTCAATGTTCTCTCTCATTGATGTTTCTATCTCTCTCTCCCTCTCTCTCTAAAATCAATAAAGGAAAAAAATAAAAAGTCTATTCACTTAAAAAAAAAAAAAGTTAAAGGGCCAAATATTTCATGACTGAATGACTGGAACAGAACATGCCCATCTTTTTTTTATTAATCCTCATCCGAGGATATTTTTTCTATTTATCATCAGATAGAGTGGGTGGGAGAGGGAGGGAGGGGGGAGAGAGAGAGAAACATCGATGTGCCTCCCGCACAACCCGACTAGGGCCAGGGACAAAGGCAACCAAGGTACATGCCCTTGACCAGAGCTGAACCTGCGACTCATTGGTCCGCAGGCCAATGCTCTAACCACTGAACAACTGGCCAGGGCAGGACATACCCACTTTCTTCGGCTGCTGTGAACAAGGCACCAACAAGCACTGAGCCCCAAGGCCTGCAATCCAGAAACCTATAACGTGGAACGCTGGTAAGTGCCTACTTTGTAGGGTTGGGGCGACAATGACAGGAGATAACCCACTTGAAGAACTGAGCCTGGCACCAAGTAACCCCCTTGGTTGGAGTGACCCCCATCACCACTGTGGGCTAAACTGCTCCTGGTCTGGTGATGAACGGAAGCCCTACTTCAGGGCTGAGGCTACTTACTGTCACCGGCTGGAGGGGTCTCTTGGACCCGCTGGCAGTGCACTACTGCTGAGGTAGACAGGGCCCGAGCGGCTGGCTTGGCCCCGACCTCCATCATCTTAGGGCAGTGCTGGGCATAGAACAGCAGCGATTTGCCGGCCTTCTGCAGGAAGGCCTGAGGCACTCGGGATAAGAATGGGCATCTGCGAACAACAGTCTCCATGTCCGGGAGGTGCACTGATCCTGTGGGAAGATGAAGAGCATCAACATGTTAATAATCAGGCAAAAACACCGCAAGGTCACTGGGTTCAGGTGTCACCAGCAGTTCATGGCACGGGTACTCTAGGGTACGAGTCAGTGTCACTCAAAAATGTTTAAGCACAGCACTGATATGGAACTCAACCAAGGAGCGGTGGCCACACTCCACCCAGGTCCCCAAAAGCCACCCAGGTCCCTAGCTCCATACAAAAGTACCCAGACAGCAACTCTGCCAAATGGCGCACATACTGATTATTCAAGGGGTGGGACAACCAGGGACAAGTCAGGAACAGGTTTGGGAGGTCAAAGGCTTCTCCGGGAAGATGCATCGGGCAGATAGGACACCTCAGCACACACCCAGTGGAGAAGTGAGGCTGGGGAGGAAGCCGATGGCACCCATCCAGGCAGAAAGGGCTCTTCGGGATTCTGGGCTCCTCCTGCTCCACTCCCCCAAACCCAGGGAGGCAGGGTTCCCAGGACCCGGGCCTGGCGCTGGAGCAGGGCGCACAAAGGGCCGGGAGAGGGGACGCGCGCAGGGGCGGGGGTCTGGCGCCAGGCGGTCCTGGGCACGGGGAGGTCAGAGGTGACCCGGGGGTCACGGGCTGGGAGCGCCGGGGGCGTGTGGGAAGGGAACTCTGAAGCGGCCAGGTGAACGGGGACAGTCGGAAGGCGGTGGACTAGGCCAGAGGTCTGGGAGAACACTGACCCCAGGGCGGCAGGTGACTGGGGCGGTGGGGGATGGGGTCCCAACGGCCTGGGGCGCGGGCTGGCAGGACGCGCGGCCCCAGATCGCGGACTCTCACCTGCGCCGGTGACTGCGGGGGGGGTGGCGGGGTGGCGGCGGCGGCGGCGGCGGGTACCCAAGCCGACGAGTTGAATCAAAACGTTGCCCTTGTCCGCGAGGCGCCTTCGGCCCAGGGCGCCGTCGTCCTAATATACAGCGGGAGGGACCGCTGCGCATGCGCGCTGGGCGCAGGCTCCCCCGGCGCAGGCGCGCCGCGTCGCGCCGGGGGAGTCGGGTCGCCTACCTGGAGCCGGTGGGTCGGGCGGCCCCGGGTCCCGCGGGGCGGGCGGGGAGGGGGAAGGGCGGGGAGGGGGAGGGGAGGGGCGGTGGGCGGGCGACTTCAGCCTGCACCCCGGCTGCCCAGTGCTTGCGAACCGACTCCCCCACCGTGGGCCATAAAAGGGCAGCGTCGGAGGCAAGCGTTGCTAGGGCTGTGAGAACGGGTGACTTGGACAGAGGAGGAAGAGGAAACACGGGGTCCCAGACCAGGATCTGAGGCAGAACCCACCCCACCCGGCTCCCTTCTAGGCTGTGACCCAGGGCTTCCTGGGGGAGGCGGGGCTGGAGCGCCAAGGCCGGAGTGGTCCTGGGGTGCGGTGCCTGGGCCTGGAGGGGTGGCTTGCAGGGAGGAGGAGCCGAAGCTGGAGGACACCCAGCTGTGGCACTCTGCACACCTCTGAGCACCTGGGGTCCGTGGGTGGGGGCAGGGCTGGAAGCACTGGGCCTGACACACAATTCGGGTTTGACACATATCAGTTCTTATTTTTATTCTCCACTGTGGGCTGTCCCAAGTCCCTTGCTGGGCACCAGCTGGGTGGCTCGGACTCCACCCCAAGGTTGACAGTTGGGCTGTGGCCTCTGTTGAGCGTCCCCCCAGACCACACTGCAGGGTAGAGTTGGCAGGCCCCTCTCAGGAGCGCCAGCCTAGCCACCTTGCTCCACACCCTTCCCAGCTTAACAGGCTGGGCTGGGCTGACCCTGTGCAGGGCTCAGCTGCCGTCCACTCTTGGGGGCTAGCCAGGTTGCTCCTTCAGCTGGGCTTTAAGAGGGAGAGAGTCCAGAGCAATAGTGACCAAGTTGTGTCCAGGTACTTTGTCCCTCCCTCTCTGAGTCTCCGGCCAACTACAAGGTAGGTGAGGTGACTCTTCACTTTCAGAGAAGGTGTCTGGGTCCAGAGTGGCACTGGGACCAGTCCAGGGGCCCAGAATGAAGGCTTTGGCCTGGGAGGTCAAGGCCCAGCTCTGACCCATCCTGCTGAGGGGCCCTGGGCAGTGCCCATCAGCTGGAGGGAGTCAAGAGAAAAAAAAGCAACATTTGGACTCAGACGCAAGTATCACTGGACGTGAGAACAGGATGAAGATGGTGTTGAATGCTTTGCCCATCTCTGGGCCTCACTTTCCTTGTCTGAGCAGTGGGATCATAGTCCCTGTTCGGCCCGCCTCACAGAGCTGTTTGAGAGATCAGAGGCAAGCAGAGCAGAAAGAACTGCTGGACAGTGGGGCTGGACACGGGTTCCAGGCAGGCCACAGCCTCTCTGTGGCTCGTTTTCCTGTTGCCAAGCTCTCCGAGTCCTGGTCCTTGTGGTTGTCAGGAGGGTCAGGTGAAGTCATGGATTGCAGAGGCTTATTGTTTAAACCAATGAGTCTCCAGCCCTCTGGGAGTTTCCTGTTTAATAGAGAGAAAGCTGGGAAACAAAGCCGACTGGCAGGGCAAAGGAAGCAGGAGTAACAATTCCAGATTGAGGAAGAGGCAGTTACTGCAGCAGACACCGCAGGCGGGGAATCCCACTGCTGGGAAGGCGAGGAGCCTGCTGCTGGGAGGAGGAGGGTATGTGGGGGAGGCGGGTGGGGAGGCCTGGAGTGGGAAAGGCCCGGGCCTGTCCGGGGGCAGTGTGAGTCAGCCTTAACAGCGGGGCTGCAGCTGGGATTTGGGGCCAGGTCAGAAGAGAAAGGCCATAAACGAGCCACAGAACTTCCCAGTGTCAGGGCTCAAGACCACCACCTGGACAAAGGCCAAAATGCATACTCATGGGCCATACCCCTCTGATTCTGACCCAAGAATTTGTGTTTTAACCAGACCTCTCTCCTGGTGACGTGGGGCGAAGTGTCTTGGGGTCACATTTTGGGAAAGTGGTTTCCACTTTGAGATTGGGAGGGGCAAAGGCTAAAGCCATGAGTTGCCATCCTGGCTCTGCCCCTTTCTGCCTCTGGGATTGTAGGCAAATCGCCCAACACCCTAAGCCTCCGTTTTTGCAAATGCCCTACGTCTGGATAGACCCCATTCTGGCAGAGTTGTGATCCCTCTGCTGGCTTCATTTAGGCTTCTCCTCTCTCCCTCTTCTCTTTCCCCTCCAACCCTCCCTCCCTCTTCTCCCTTCACTGCTGTCTTGCCTCCCCCCTCAGAGCTGCAGTGCAGACTCATCTTATCACCCTGGCCCTGGGCAGGGAAGGCCAAGCTGCCGGAGTTCAGGCAAAGCCGGGCCCCATCCTGGGGATAACACTGGGGCCTGGCCTTCCCCACTTCCTCCCCCCCAGACTGCGTCATCGTCACCGTCCGGGACGCTTGCACACAGCACCCACCCAGCGGTCAAGGCAGAAGGCAAATGTCAACCCCAGCCCCAGAATTCCATTCTGTCCCACTCTGGGACCCAGGAGTTATTTTTAGCCAGGTCCCTCTGTGGGGCCAAGTAGACGAGGGACCTTGGGCAAGCTTACTTTGACTGCTTTCCTCTGGGCCTGTTTGCACATCTGTCAGGCACGTGAGAAACCCTTCAGCCTTGCCCTCAAGGAGACCTGGATGGACGTGGGACCGTTTTGAAGGTGGACAAAACCTCGAGCCTGTGCAGCTGGTGCTTGGCATGGCTTTGGCCTTGGGCTAGCCCAGAGTCACCAACTGTTACCAGCAATGCGATTATCAACCAAGGCAAGGGCCTGTTTCTCTCTGGTCCTGGAGGCATTTAAAGGCCTGCCCAGGACCCCTTCTGCCCAAATGTGGGGGAGCAGGGACAGAGGAGGGAGGAGAAAGTGACCAAGGCTCAGGGATGTGGTGCGGGGTGGATGGGGCAATAAGGAGAGAGCCAGCGAGGATAACAGTACGGTGAACAGTATGGCAGCAGTAACAGCTCAGTTCAGATGTTTGGCCTGGCACTGTGATCATATACGAAACTTCAGCTCTTGCTCTTGCTGTTTTGGCTCAGCAGTTAAAGCATCAGCCTGTGGAGCGAAGGGTCGTGGGATCAATTCCCGGTTAGGGGCACATACCTGGGTTGCAGGAGCTCGATCCCCGGCCCCTGTTGGGGTCATGCAGGAGGCAACCAATCAACGTGTCTCACATAGATGTTCCTCTCCCTCCCTCCCTCCCTCCCTTCCTCCCTCCCTCCCTCCCTAAAAATCAATGGAAAAATATCCTTAGGTGAGGATTAACAACAAAAAAACACAACCTTAGCTCTCTCAAAGCAGCAGGTCAGTATAATGATTAGCCCCATACATAGGGCAAAAGTTCAGAATGGCTAAGTAACTTGCCCAAGGTCACACAGCCCCTGAGTAGAGAACATGGCTGCCCGACTGACCTGCCTTCCAGTCCAGTGCACCCGGGGTGGAAGAGGGAGCCGGGAGGAATGAGGCTGTGTCTGCGTCGACTTCAGGTCTCAGTGGAAGTGGCCCTCTACCTCTGGGTGGTGGGTGCAGTTTGGGTGAGCCGGTGGGAGTGCCCCACCAAGAAGCCAGCCAGCCAGCCCAACTTGGTGGAAGTCACCCACTTCCAGAAACTTCTAGGCAGCCGGCCCTGAGTCCTCCCAGACCCCACATGCTGGTGGACAGTGCTCCTCTATCCCTTGCACCAGGTCCACGGAGGCCTCTTCCTACCCTCTCCTTTCTCTTTGGGGGCCCCTGGAAGGATGAGAGGGGCCCGGGGGACTGTGGGTTTCTGCCCCACACCCCAGGACTTGTCCCCAGTGGTGGGGAGCAGCTCTTCTTTGCCCCTCCTCCAGTTCCCACAGCCGCGTCATCTTTTCCCAGTATTAATAGTGATTCCAGCCCTGGCCGGTGTGGCTCAGCGGTTAGAGCGTCGGCCCGCGGACCAGAGAGACCCGGGTTCGGTTCCCGCTGAGGGCCTGTACCTTGGTTGCAGTTTGTCCCCGGCCCTGGTTAGGGTCGTGTGGGTGGCAACCAGTTGATGTGTCTCTCTCACATCGATGTTTTTCTCTCTCTCCTCCTCCCTCTCTCCCTCCCACTCTATCTGAAGATAAATGCAAAAAATGTCCTTGGGTGAGGATTAAAAAAAATATGATTCTGTGATAACAGGCACGGCCTTACTGAATTCAGTCTCTACCCCACTCCCTGCCCTGAGAAGTGGCCCTCCGGCCAGTCCTCAGGGAGGCAGACCTGTGGTGGTGCTCAGCTCCCAGCTCCCTCCTCTGTGCTGTGTGGCCTTGAGCAGTTGGCACAGCCTCTCTGAGCTATTTCCTCACGTACGAAAGGAAACCAGACTTTCCGAGATGGTTCACTATTACATGTGTACTTGGCGAGACCACTGTGTCCACTGTCTGGTTAAACCCTAGGTGTTGCTGAGCAGGAATGTTGGACATAACACCTACAGTCAGTGAAGGAGATTTTCCTTGGTAACGTGGGTGGACCTTCAGTGCAAAACCAGTTTCCAGGGAAGGACTCCTGACCCTGGAACTAATCCGGCCCGAGGCTCCAGCCTCCCCGCCTTCACCAGCCTCCAGGGTCCCGGGAGCCAGTTCCTAAAATAATACTGGAACTTGGTCCTGTTTCTCTGCAGAACCCTGGCCGACGTGGGGACTCCCGAGAGCCATCTGTGCCTGGGGCTCTGTGTCCGGGGCAGGGCCAGCCCCTGGGAACAGCAGGCACCTACCTGGCCAGCGGCTCCGAATGAGGGAACCGAGGGAAGGGACTTGTCCGAGTGTCAGAGCCCAGTCAGGCTTCCAGCAGGCCTGCCTCCCTCGATCCAGGCGCCCAAGGGCCATGGCTCGCTCTCCCCAGGGGTCCCCTTTGGGTCTACAGCCCTCGAGCCGTGGGGGAGGGGA